CCAATGCCGGCAGCACAGGCGACAAGGGGGAAGAGCTGGAAGCCATTGTGCAGCAGGAAAACTGTCACATAGTCGCCATCATGGAAACATGGTGGGATGAGTCACACAACTGGAGTGCTACAATGGATGGCTACAAACTCTACAGAAGGGACAGGCAAGGAAGGAGAGATGGTGGTGTAGCCCTCTAGGTTAGGGAGTGTTTTGATTGTTTAGAGTTTAACGATGGTGATGAAAGGGCTGAGTGTCTTTGGGTAAGAATCAGGGGGAAGGACAACAAGGCAGATGTCATGGTGGGAGTCTGTTACAGACCACGCAACCAGGATGAGGAGGCAGACAAAATATTCTATAAGCAGCTGGGAGAAGTCTCACGGTCTCTAGCCCTTGTTCTCGTGGGGGACTTCAGCTACCCAGATGTCTGCTGGAAATGCAATACAGCAGAGAGGAAACAGTCTAGGAGGTTCCTGGAGTGTGTGGAAGAGAACTTCCTGACACAGCTGGTGATGGAGCCAACTAGGGAAGGCGCCTCACTGGACCTGTTGTTTGCAAACAGAGAAGGACTTGTGGGCAGTGTGGTGTTAGGAGGCCATCTTGAGCAGAGCAAACATGAGACCATAAGAGTTTTCAATTCTCAGGGAAGTAAGGAGAGGGGTTAGCAGAACTGCCACCTTAGACTTCTGGAGGGCAGACTTTGGCCTGTTTAGGAGCCTGGTCGACAGAGTCCCCTGGGAGGAGGACCTGAAGGGCAGAGGAGTCCAGTCTGGCTGGACGTTCTTCAATAAGGAAATCTTGAAGCCACAGGAGCAGGCTGTCCCCATGTGCCGAAAGACAAGCCAGTGAGGAAGAAGACTGTCCTGGCTGAACAGAGAGCTTTGGCTGGGACTCAGGAAAAAAAAGGAAAGTCTGTGGCCTTTGGAGGAAGGGGCAGGCCACTCAGGAGGACTACAGGGATGTCGTTATGTTATGCAGGGAGCAAATTAGAAGGGCCAAAGCTCAGCTAGAACTTAAGCTAGCTACTACTATAACAGACAACAAAAAGTGTTTCTATAAATACATTAGCAACAAAAGGAGGACTAAGGAGAATCTCCATTCTCTATTGGATGCAGGGGGAAGAGAGTGACCAAGGATGAGGAAAAGGCTGAGGTACTTAATGCTTTCTTTGCCTCAGTCTTTAATAGTAAGACCAGTTGTTCTCCGGGTACCCAGCCCCCTGAGCTGAAAGACGGGGCAGGGAGCAGTATGAAGTCCCCATAATCCAAGGGGAAATGTTTAGAGGCCTACTACACCACCTAGACATACGCAAGTCTATGGGGCCAGATGGGATCCACCCAAGGGTACTGAGGGAGCTGGCAGAAATGCTCACTAAGCCGCTTTCCATCATTTACCAGCAGTCCTGGCTAACTGGGGAAGTCCCAGTTGACTGGAGGTTAGCCAGTGTGACGCCCACCTACAAGAAGGGCCAGAAGGAGGATCTGGGGAACTACAGGCCTGTCAGTCTGACCTCAGTGCCAGGGAAGGTTATGGAGCAGATAATCTTGAGTGCCATCGTGCGGTACTTACAGGACAACCAGATGATCAGGCCCAGTCAGCAGGAGTTTATGAGAGGCAGGTCCTACTTGACGAACCTGACCTTCTATGACAAGGTGACCTGCCTAGACGATGAGAGCAAGGCTGTGGATGTTATCTACCTGGACTTTAGTAAAGCCTTTGACACTGTTTCCCACAGCATTCTCCTGGAGACACTGGCGGCTCATAGCTTGGACGAGCATACTCTTCGCTGGGTTAAAAACTGGCTGGATGGCCAGGCCCAAAGAGTGGTAGTGAATGGGGTTCGATCCAGTTGTCAGCTGGTCACAAATGGAGTTGCCCAGGGATCAGTATTGAGTCTAGTCCTGTTTAATGTCTTTATCAATGATCTTGATGAGGGGATTGAGTGCACTTGCAGTAAGTTTGCAGACAACACCGAGTTGAGTGGAAATGTTGATCTGCTCGAGGGTAGGAAGTCTCTGCAGAGGCTGGACTGATGGGCTGATGTCAACTGTATGAGTTTCAACAAAGCCAAGTGCTGGCTCCTGCACCTGGGTCACAACAACCCCATGCAGTGCTACAGGCTTGGGGATGAGTGGCTGGGGGGCGGGCTTGGCGGGAAAGACAAGGACCTGGGGGGTGTTGGTTGACAGCTGGCTGAACGTGAGCCAGTAGTGTGCCCAGGTGGCCAAGAAGGCCAACAGCATCCTGGCCTGTATCAGAAATGGTGTGGCCAGCAGGAGTAGGGAAGGGATTGTCCCCCTGTACTCGGCACTGGTGAGGCCGCATCTTGAATAGTGTGTGCAGTTTTGGGCCCATCACAACAAGAAAGACATCGAGGTGCTGGAGTGGGTTCAGAGAAGGGCAATGAAGAGTCTGGAGCACAAGTGTTACGAGGAATGGCTGAAGGTATTGGGGTTGTTCAGCCTGGAGAAGAGGAGGCTCAGGGGAGATCTTATGGCCATCTGTAACGACCTGAAAGGAGGTTAGAGTGAAGTGGGTGTTGGACTTTTCTCCCAAGCATCAAGGATAGGATGAGAGGAAACGGCCTCAAGTTGTGCCAGGGGAAGTTTAGATTGGACATCAGGAGAAATTTCTTCACTGAAAGGGTTGTCAAGCGTTGGAACAGGCTGGCCAGGGAAGTGGTGGAGTCACCGTCCCTGGAGGTGTTCAAAAGACATGTAGATGTGGTGGATAGGGGTGTGGTTTAGTGGTGCTGGGTTAACGGTTGGACTTGATAATCTTAAAGGTCTTTTCTAACCTAAATGATTCTATGATTCTATGATTTGTAAAATGTATATGCATCATTTTTTAATAGATGTTAACCAATACTTTTTATAACATCTCTAGTTCCAGCCTAACCCTTTTCCTGACCTCCTTTCCTTTCCTTCCACTTCTTTCTGTAGGGCTATGCTGAAATCTTTTTTTTCTATATTCAGTTCTCTTTAAGCTTGCCTCAAATGTAGCTCTCACCAGATATAGGCTTTGGTAAATTATTGACCATGCTCATTGTACACTTAACCTGTAGGTTCATGCCCTGTTAATTTGCCCCAAGTTGTCCTCAAATCACAGTTTGTGTGTTGATATTACCAGAACTTTATTGAGCCAAACTGCATTGCAAAACACTGGCAATGGGGACTAGATCTTTTATAGGTACAGGAGAAAACTCTGAAGAGGTGGTAGAGGAAAGAAAGGTAAGTTCACCTGACTTTGCTTGTCATGAGAGAAAGCAAAGCAAAAGCCATCACCAAATCAATTTATTGGGCAAAAAGAAGACAGAATGCAGAAATTTAAGATGATTTAAGAAAAGGAAAATTGGAGGTGTTTTTTAAACATCTTTGCAAGCAATGAGAGGTAGGAGTCAGGAAAGGAAAGCAAGAAATGGAATTTTACATCAATCTTAGAAAATTTACTATCTTTTGCAGGCCTTTATGCCCAGATCGGAATGCTACCATCCCGCCCCAAAAAGTAAAGAACACTGTTCCATGGAATCCCTCTTGCAGATGGCACCAGGTCACTTTTATGCCGTGATCCTCTAATCGTTTCTTGTACAGCAGTCCATCATCTCTAAGCACATCAAATTCACAGGTCAAAATGAAAGTCTCGGGAAGTTGAGCAATAACACTGTCTTCAGCTAGCAGTGGAGAAAAAACAGGGTCACACACAGTCTTCATCTGTTCATAGAGTCCTTTTGAGAATTGACATGTTGTACTTGGTTTGTAGCCTCTTGATTTAAATTCATGGGGGATGTAATCAGGACTCACCCATTTCTGATACTTCAGTTGCAAATCTTCTGGAATATAAGACACTTTAGATAGTGATTCCATGACTGACAAGTCTTTATTAAGATACTTCAAACCAAGAGCAATGGTTCGTTCCTTTAACAAAATGGGGACTCCTTTATTCTGCTGATAAGAAGGCAAATTGAAGTCCACACTCTGGAGAAAAGGATATATTAGGATTTGTGCCCTCAGCTTTGGGAGGTCTCTTCTGTTCGCCAACGTTTGGGCAACAGCAGCAGTGATTGTACCTCCACTGCTATCTCCACAGATGACAATGCGAGAAGGATCTACTCCATAATCTTGTGCAGTCCTCATAAAGTGTATGGTGGCAGTGAGACAATCCTCAAACTGGGTTGGATATGGATATTCAGGAGCTAAGCGATACCTAAATAGGGGTGAAAGTGTTTTAGCATAGTCATATCTAGTGACTGGTCCCATTGTCTTTTCATTCACAGCTAGCTTTCTGAAGATAGGAAAGTATTCTGAGATTATAATTACAGCAATAGAATTGATCATAATTATTGCTTTTGATGTATTATTTGCTATTATTGTTAATGTTTGGGGGAGTCAGTGCACTCTTCTATCTTTGCAAAATACTTCCTTACCTATCTTTTAGTGACTGAAGAGTTATTGTAGAATTAGGTGGCAAGGCAGGTATGCATGAATCAGTTATCAGCAATTCTAGTTAGAAATTGAAGTGAACATTTCCCAACAAATTGTTAAAGAATATGAGCATAGAAAATTGATAATGAAAATATGAAACATTTCAGTGGTTTTCTGTAAGAGTTAACTGTTCTTCAAGTATTTTGTGATGTAAATAGTAATTAGTGCAATTTTAATCAATTTCCAAGACATCAACACTTTTCCTGAACTTTTAGAAACTGGTTCTTTTAAAAATGCGTTACAGCTCATCAGAAAAATATTTGGAATGTTCATCTCAGGTTGATTGCAAGTTAAATGTCGATACCCCCCCCCAGTTTTTCAGAGCTACTACTAAAATGAGTATTTAGTAGTCTGGGCAACTGTGCTTTTCACAGAAACAGTTACACTTAAAACACGGTGTTGGCTTTCAACGGTGGTTTTGATACAGCTTTAGGAAACAAAACATCCTCACCTCTTAGTGGTGGCTATAAATTATAAAATTATTATAATAGATTTTATTTGGAAATAAGCAAGTGGCAATTAGTTGACTAATTCTTCCCAAGAGTAATTAGTGCTGGTGAAACACATGATTGTTAAATATAACTAAATATAAGCACTTTAGAAGGAACTTGGTGTGCAGTGACTATGCATTGAAGGCTGGCTAACCTAGAAGGAGGCCCAAATGGCTGTTATATTGTGTGTCTGGATTGACTCCACTTACCCAACAGACACAACCACTGAATTGCTTTTTCTAGCGAAATAGCGGCATGTTCTTTCATAGGCCCCTGTAAAACAAAATATTTCAATGGAATTGTATCTTGCTTTAAAAATAAGTTGAATGAAAATACTCTGAAATTCTTACCGCTATTCTGTGATTAATGCTAGACTGTAATTCTCTTATTGTGGAATGGTCTAATCTGGACATAGCTCACAATATCATTACGTCTGTGGGAATCTTCTTGCCAGTAAGAAACCTGGAATTTACACCCGTGCATTGTTTCAGTCTCCTCTTTGAAAATTTAGTTAATAGAAAGTACCACTTGTTGCCACATCTAAAGTGGTATTGAAGATGAGAAGTTATTAAAAAACCCCCACAAACCAAACACAAAAAACCCACGGCTAAATCTAGCACGAGAATTTTTCTTCTGCATGAGCCACCATCTAATTTCTTATGCCTTTCCATTTCAAAGGCCAAAATGTATTTTTTCCTTGTTTTGCCACTATAAAGACACACAGCAGTACACACATACGCACAAGCTTGCACACACATGTGAACACAAATTGGGTCCTTTAAAATAAGAAGTAAAATTCTAAAGAGATTTTCAACTTTTCTTGTAAGCATGAAGGCGGAGAAGGAAGAAAACAGGTATTACAAATGATCTGAGAATAAAAGTTCTAGATACATGACCTGTATAAAGACAATTTAAGACGATGCCTACTGCATGTAAATAAAATTATTCTGCTGTCCTGAAATTAATTTTGTTATTTATAATTCTAAACCTACTAACTCTTCTTGTCATTTAGGAAATACCAAATCAGATCAGTAACTACGTAGTATTTGTAGTTATAGCTCATTTTATTTGTATCACTTACGAATGCTTCCAAACATTCCAACTCCTCCATGAAAGTAAAGGATTCCTCTTCTTTGGCCAGTGGTTGATATTTTTGGCTGGTAAATTCTTACTTTAACCTTTTCAAACCTTAAGTCCTCGATAAAAAGATATTTATCTTTTAATGGTGGTATTGCATCCATTAAAACCCTGAGGACATAGACCTCTGAGGTGATACCTAATTTTTCCAAAGCTTTTGCCTGTTAATAAAGGGAAAGAAACCACAAATTAGTGCAAATTTCCATCTTACCTGGAGACTGATCATGAAAAATTTAAAATTCCATGGTTAATTCAAACTTTCTGTCCTGATGGTTCTTACAGTGAAGTGGCCAGTTATGGTGATTTGGATACCTCTTCATTGTAATGTAATACCTACCAAAATTTGAAATTCAAAGAGCACTAGTTTGACAGGAGTGGATGAACTTACCTTCTGTGGCTGCCTTGTGTCCATGCTTCTCCAAAAGCAAGGCCTTCGAGCCTGTGGGAAAGCCTGCCTAAGAATTGCTTTCACTTGACTCATGAATACCATCTTACATCTCTGGCAAACACGTCACCAGCACTATCTAGAAGAACACGGGATTAGCTTTGGTGATAATTTCAGGATTATATTAGAAGTGTTAGATAAGAGCATGGTGTTTTTCAAATTATTTCATTCTTCAGTGGTGAAATCCTGGTTTAGTTTTTATCAGTAGGAAAAAAAATCAAAGTATTAATAGTAGATATGCCTGAACAAAATGAGAGAGTAGTTACAGCATTTTAAACTTTAGCTTTGGATGAAGAAATGTGGCTAATACTTCAGTTTCCCAAACTCACACAACTTCTTAACTTGCAGAAAAAAAATCCCATAGCATCTACCCCAGCTGGCCTCCTGAACAAGAATAGCTTTGAACCTTAGCTTGATCTTCTCACAGCTCAGTGACTTTTACTTAAACACTCAGGCTGAAGACACTTATGTCACTCTGAGCTAGTCTACTTCATTGTATCTGGATGCCTTTAAGCTGTTTCCGTTGTAGTCTGCTGTAGTCTGTTCCTGCTCAAGATGAAAAATACGAGGCAGTATCACTATATTTCCTCTATATTGGATTACGTTTTGTACTTCTTCAGCAGTAGACTTCTGTAATGAGTAGTTTAGTTTGCTGTGTTGCTGTTATTCATGCACATATATTTCAAAAAGAATTGCATGTACAAAAGTGTATGCTGCATGTATCTTAAAAACCCACAATACGTCTTGTGGCTTTCACCTCATGTTTCACAGACCTCATGTAGCTCATTAATGTGGTCCTGTGAAATTTGAGGCAGGTATCCTATTTTAGGCCATTTGAGGAGCTGATCCCATACATGAAGGATCATCCTGTGGCCAAGTTTTAGTCTCATACTGATACCTTCTAAAGAACTCCTGGATGATGTTCATGGGAAAATAATTTTATTCCTTTATCTTCAAATTCCCTTCAATATTTTCTTTCCTCACTAATACTTTTGTAACAGTAAAGGTTAAACCTGTAATTGTGCTGTATTGTTTGTATATAACAGAGAGATCGCCTTGGTATTGGAAATACTAAAAAAAAAAATAGGAGGGTTGGCAGTCTGACACCACGTTATTGCCAAACCTGCAATGGTTTCATGGGTCAGCTTCTGTAGAGATTGGCATTTATTTATATTGCTCTTAGTCACTTCACTGTTAGCTGTGGCTATCTTCCATGGATTACCTGCAACAACGTACAGTTATGGCAGACATCTGTAATTAGTGTAATCACGCATAATCTTTTTAGTTATTTCTGTTAATATGCAAACGAAATGTTAATCTTGTGGTGTTGTTTTAAATTGTGCACCTCCTGCGAATGGATGTTCTACAAGAACCAGCAGAATTTGCATTTTTGCTTTGTTTTCTGATTCAAGTTCATTTTTTTAGTATGTATGTTCCCTCAAAGTGAGGTGTTGGACTAGATGATCTCCAGAGGTCCCTTCCAACTCCCATCATTCTGTATTTGGTTTTGCCTCCAGTTTCTGGAAAAAAGTGATCACTTGCATGACAACAGCAAGACTGGGCTATGTGTGTGTAGGGTATAGTTAGATTATGTATCACTGATTTCTTTATTACCCCGAAATCCCACGTTCAGGATCTTCATGTTCATAAAGCTTGCTTATGAACCAAGTCAATCAAACATGACCTACATTTTGATATTTGTAAATTAGTGTGACTGCTTAGTAGTTTGTAAACCAGTAGTTGGACAGTTTGGTTATATATTCATTAAGGATCTTCTAACACAATAGCTGACATGACAGCTTGAAAATTAACAAAGACTTGCAGGTAGCATAAGACGGTCGAAGTACGGGACTAGAGAACCACGACCTTGTTTGAAGTGTTTTCTAGCTCAGCCTCTGCAGTCACACTAAGTAAACTTTAAGTTTCCCTGCAGTTTCGACATCTGGGTTGTCATCCCTTGAAAAGATTTGGCTACTTCGGTGTAAGTAATTGGCCTAACAGCAATACCAAGAGTTGCTACGTGAATTGGACTTCACTTGAATTTAAACTTGTATAACAATACATTAATATTCTTATCTTTGAGGTGATATGGTACAGTGCTTTTGCTTGTCCTCTCGCTGGCCACAGAAAGGATTCAAAAATTGTAAGATCAGAAGTTAAAACTATTTTAATCACCAGTAAATGTCTAAATTCTGCAGTTTAGCTTTTTACATATGAATTACACAAAGATAAAACTTTGCCTGATGGATAAAGAGTGTTCATACAGTGCTTTGAAAATGTGAAAGCCCACACATTGTATAGTAGGTGGAAGAAAATTTAATTTTACTTCTATTACTGTCCTATTTTCTTGCATTGTTTTACTCTCATAGCAGTGTTCGGGCCTGGGTGGGGCACTTCCCAAGAGGCGTGATGAGGCATGTTCTTAGGAGCTTACTGGCTGACTTCAAACAAAACTTAATAAGCACTGTAGCAGGGAAAGGGAGGAAGAAATGATAACATTAGAACATGGAACTGAGGTGAAATGTAATGTGCAAGCCAGACGCTGAAGGGTTTTTTCACAATTTAAACAACTAAAAGAAAAGAAGCTTGATTTAGGTATCACAGAAGTGTTTTTAAAATGACAGGGGCAACAATTAATTCAGGAAAGGATAACTGATGAAAAAGAAAGATGAGTGGAAGTCACATTTTAGTTTTGAAGAGAAACAAGGATGAAAACTAAAGGAGGATTGAAAATGTGCCAAAAACAATGACACAGAAAGACAGCTTTAATATTACGTGTATTATCTCAAAAAAGGAAGTCATATAGACATATTGAAAGTCAAAAGGTGATGAATGTGGCAGCTGTTTTCCAGAGGGCTCAGAAGTAGAGTGATAAAGTTGTAGAAGAGAACTGAGATCAGAGACATCGTTTAGTTGCTCATTCGCTAAATAAGCCCTGTTATACAGAGGAGAAGTTCCACATGCGGTGCCGTAACCTTCTTAAGCCTTCCAGCACCGCATAGAGGCAATAGGATTAAAAACCTAGAACAGGCCATCAGAAAAAACTGGGAATTACACAGTCTGCAGGATTTTATTTTTCCGTATTGTTACCTTTGCTGCTGTATAGCAAGCAGTAGAGTCTATTATACTCAGCTGAGCTGAAGGTATCTGCAGTGGTGCTCACATCACCAAATTAATCTAGTTGCATATTTGCAATATATTTAAACATTTATTCTAGAAAACCTCACCAATCCATTACCCCTCTATCAGAAATTAAACTCAAAACTCAAGCTTCAGTTAAGTTTTACTTACCAGACCAAACCCAAAGTTCAAGGCGTGGTGAAGAACATAAAGCTTTCGGTACTGACTAAATCCATGAGGGATTTCTGCCTTGGGGTGTTCATAATAGAATGCCATTGCCACAAAGACAGTCAAAACAGAAAGAAAAATCACTAGGAGGAGTCCCATCTCGCTGTACTGTTAGGAGCCAAATGAGAGAATCAGCTGTGTCTTCCTCCCCTTTCTGACTTTTGAAGGATTTCTGAAGGTAAGGTCACAGGATTAGCAATTCTCTTCATATCCCATCATTCAGCTTTTAAAAATGCCAATAGGAAGATGAACACATGTGGCAATCAAACCATAAAATTAAACAGACACAATTAGTCATGGGAGAGGCTTGCATAAGCAGTTTTTCATCTCTGCAGCTAACATGTTTTGAGTCTGTGCCCATCACTGTAGAACCAGTGCTTGATACACGATTTGTAGCGTCAGTGTTAAGAGAAGACAAAAACTTGTTATGTCTCTCCCTATTTCTTGAATACAGTCAAGCCTGTAGTATTTCTGAGTACCTGTGAGTTCCCGTGGAACAGGATTTCTCAGTAATCATCTTCAGAGCCGCTCAATTTCTTGATTTATTGTGCTTCCACACCTTACTTCTTTGGACTTTTAGTGATATCAGGGTTTCAGTGTTGCAAACACATTTCATCACCTTTGATGAGTGGTTTTGTACACTGCTATGCTGTTGCGTCTTTGAATCTCATGGAGCCAGAAGCAGCTGCAACCTGAAGTGTCAGTGCTTTCTATCTTCCTTCATCCTCGGTAGCTGTTCGGCAGCAGGTGAAACTGTTATGTTTGGTTTGTGTTTGGTTTTTTTAACAGGCTTTTCGTTGAGCCTTACAGTACTGCAGTCTCTGTCTTCTTGTGAATATATTACTTACAGGCATTATTCCAGGTAGAAATATTATTCCAGCTGATGAAAACGAGACTTGGACTTCATGGTTTGAGTGCTAGTAGCAATGACTAGACATCAGCTCTTTTCTGTGTACTCTGTGGTGAGGACCTGTGCCTTCCTCTGGAACTAGCATATTTTTCAGTACAGAAAACATTACTGGTAAGATTTAACCTGAAACAAAAGGTATGTAAAGCAAAGCTTTTTCAGGTCATATGGTGTCACCTTTGGGACCAATGTCTTTTTACCAGTCTGCTCAAACTGTGAAGGCAACAGGTTCTCACTCTGAACAATAGCAGTATGGGCAAAATGAGTGTGTAAAAATTTTTCCTAAATCAACAAAAAAAAAGATACAAGGGATGAGCCGACCTTGAGTTTATATTAAAGTGAAACTAAATGCAGAGAGCCCCAGCGCTTTAGAATGCATAGTCCATGAGCATAGGAAATAAGACCTCAGACTTCATTCCTGACTTTAGAAACTGTTTATTGTTTCAAAGAAACAGAAAGGAACTTCATTTTCAAGTTTGGTGATACGGTCCCTGAGAAGAGGCTGATTCCATGTTCTGTTCCGTCTGCCCAGACTGTTTCTTCATTTTATCCCACAACTCTTCGCAGAATCAAGGCATTAAATGACTAGCCCTGCTGCTATAACGGAGAGGAGTTGCATGGTGACACTATTTCCCCTTTTCCTAAAAGGAGTTCAGCCTCTTTAAAGCTAAAAAGGAACTGTGAGGTTTCTGGGATAGGGACATGTTTTTTCAAAATCCTCAAGTAGCACCTAGCACAATGGGGTCTTGACCCTACGTCCTCCACGTTCTCTGCTATGTTAAATACTATGAACCAGCTGCACCATTCAGAAGAGAACCTTGACATAAATCATAGCAAAGACAGACTCTAAATAGATAAGGGATAGTAACAAAATGAAAAATTGTAGTGACAAAAATACACTTATCTGACAACAAAAGGGATCAACGCAACTTTAGGAGAAAAGAAATTCGGTTCTGTTGGGTCTAACTCTTCCTTTCCATAGCAGAGGTTCTAGTTCTGCAAAACCTCACACATTTACCTAGGAACTAACAGATCATGCACGTACTCAGCAGGACAGCAACTCCTGTTACGAAAAGGCTCAGCTGATGTTGAGACTTCGTTTCCTAATCATGCACCTACTCAGCAGGACAGCAACTCCTGTTACGAGAAGGCTCAGCTGATGTTGAGACTTCGTTTCCTAATTGCCAGCTTAATTTACTCAGACAGTTTATATGCGTTTGTTCCTGTGCCAGTATTATCTTTTAGTTTTAACAGCACTCTGCCTCTCTCCCTGCTCCCCCTCCCCCAGTATTTATTCCATTGATATATTCACAAAAAGCAATCATATTCCTCCTCAGCCCTCACTTTGCTAGACTAAACAAGCCAAGCTCTTTTAATCTCCTCACATAAAACAGGCCTTCCTGATCATCTTAGCTGCCCTCTTCTACACCTCTCTGACTTCATTTATTCTTCTGCATGGGCAAACTCTTCACAGTACTCGTGATCTTTGAGCAGTACCTCGTACACCAGCATTAATACTTCCTTAGCTTTATAAATTAGCTTGCATGAAATATTCTAGACTCAAACTGCCTTTTTCTTGATGGTATCATATTAGTAGCTCGAAGACATCATATACGTTTCACAATGTCCCTGTTCCCTCTCCCTCCCTTGCCAGAAGGTTGTTTACATGCTAAGTATAAAATTACATTCCTTTTTGTTTATTCTTACTTGTGGCACTTGATACAGTTGCTCAGCTCAATGAGGGATGTTGGTGAAAGGCATATGGCCTGGTGATTGGGAAAGTGGTGAATTCAAACCTGTTAGGTCTGAGGTGTGTATAGGGTTCAGCTTTCTTATAGCTTGGACGAGATCATTAGGAAATACTGTTACACAAAAAATGATTGCAGCTTCTTTCTTTAGCATTTGATACGGAAAGTAAGTCATCAGCTTTGTGCTAAACTGTGCTGTCCCAACGAGTTAGGTGTGGTCTCATAATGCTTATCAGATTGGGCTCCTCTGGGGATCCAAGAAGTCTTCTGACACTTGTGACAGATCCTTTGTACTAAGGTTCTTACCACCCATCGTTCATCTGTGTTCTAAATCTTTTTGGTGCCAGCCCTTAAGGTAGCCAGTTTGCCAACAGCTGGTAGGTCTTGGACTTTCTTGGGCATGTTAACTGGGTCCAGAGGTCACCATACCCCCACCAACCCCAGAGGCTCCACACAAAGACTGGATGCACTGGAATGTGGTATCAGCTGTAGAGGAAACATACTAGCTGGTGTCTGATCAGAGGGCTGGAGTGCCTCTCCTATGAGGACAGGCTGAGAGAGTTGCGGTTGTTCAGCCCGGAGAAGAAAAGGCTCTAGGGGGGACGTTATAGTGACCTTCCAATACCTGAAAGCGGCCTATGAGAAGGTAGGGGAAGAACTATTCATGAGAGTTTGTAGCGATAGGACAAGGGGTAATGGCTTTAAGCTAGAAGAGGGTAGATTTAGGTGGGACATTAGGAAAAAGTTCTTTAATATGAGGGTGGTGGATCACTGGAACAGCTTGCCCAGGGAGGGGGGTGGAAGCCCCATCCCTGGAGACATTCAAGGTGAGGCTTGGTGGGGCTCTGACCAACCTGACCTAGTTCGAGAGGTCCCTGCTTATTGTAGGGGGGTTGGACTAGATGACCTGTAGATGTCCCTTCCCACCCAAGACTTTCTATGATTCTATGAAGTAATAAACTGTTTTTTCTTTGGGCATTGCAGGTACACAGAGTAATACTTAACGTTTTATGAGCATAGACTCAGCAATTTACAAGCTTGCTTGAGTCTCAGGGTGGAGAACCGTTCCCTAAATGATCTTTCAAACGTATGCTTTCTCTGGCTTCTGATTTTTTAACCTTATCCCTTGCTCCTGTAGGATAGATCAGAGGAATTGGTCCCTGAGGCCAAGATCTCATTTTCCCCTACCCCAGGAATCCTTTTCTTCTTAATTTCCAGAAAAGCTAGATGGCAGCGCCTGAACTCTCGTCAGTACTGGGCTGACATCCTTGAGCTTTTTTCTGTGTGGTGGAGCTGCAAATGCTAGGGGAGCCAAGAGACCGAGCCAGTTGCAACGTAGTCTCCAGGCGGCCCCAAGAGCTCTCTGCCTGTCTCTGGATCATGGTGCTGCTGAGGTGGCAGCCAGGTACTCAGACGCACAGGGGTGAATGGGTGCCTGTACTCGCATGCTGGGAAACCATTCCAAGAGACAGTGCTGCTTGACCCGAGAAGCTCCTTTTGAGTTCTGCGGAGCGTGAGAGCCATCTGGTGCATGAAGGCTGAACTTGAGAGCTGGACTAGCCTCGTCAAGGCCTCACCAGCATCCTCTGACTGCCATTAGCTGTAAGCTTGTATGCAAAGCACTGACAAGATCTCTTAACGACTTATTTTACACCGTAACCTGTGTGTGCACACTGGTATCCATGTCTGTGTAATTCCTTGTGGAAAGACATTGGTGTGCATAATTCTGGAGGTGCACGGCAAGTTTGTGCTTGATTGAATGTGACTGTAGGTCATTGAATGTGTGGACAGATGAACATACTGTCAGGAAGTGTCTGTGTAAAAAGGCAAGTAAAAATGATTTTGTATCTTCCCCTAGAAAAAAGAAAAATCTTTAAATGAGTGATAATTTTGAAAACTAATTCCACACTTTGGAAACTATAAAATATCTTCAAATGAACACACATGCTATATTAGCAATGCAAGACACATGGCATACCTCTAATTAATTGAAATAAATTAGAGTACAGGAAGTTCTATGGAGACAATTAGATCTTGTGGCTCTGAATTTTAGAAAATATCGCAGTCGCTACTGAAAATGGAATGCATTGTTTCAGTGCTTGCTGTGCTCTACTTACCTATCTGCCCTGCCCCCAATACAGATTAAAATGCATGTGTTCAAGAGAGCTAATAATTCTCTGACATTTTGTAAAGATAAATTTATTAATATTTGTAGTAAATTAAGACCTACAGATAAAGGACCGTGGAAAAAATCTCAGGAATAGATCAGTATAGAGTTTGGACGTTGGCCCATAAATGAGGCATAAGGCCAGAGTCTGAATAATGAAAGAAAAAGAAGTATTGGATTGCTGAACTGACAAGGAGTGTAATACACGCTGCACTGAATGAGATGT